GTAGTAGTAGTAGTAGAAGGAGTAGTAGTAGTAGTAGTAGTAGTAGTAGCAGCAGCAGCAACAGTAACAGTTGTGGTAGTAGTGGTACTAGTACGAGTACTACAGTAGTAGCTGCTGTTGTTGTTGCAGCAACATTCGCAGTAGGGAGTAGTAGCATAATGATGTTGATCATGAGCTGTGTTGTGCTGCATGGATTGCACATTGACAAATAAAAGTACCAGTGCGACGATTGCTATGGATGTACACCTTCATATTCACCAGGTGCAATCTCATCATCATCATCATCATCATCAACAACAACATGCCCATCGTCGCCATCAAACGACATCAACATCATCACCACAATCATCATCACGGCCGATCTGAGAAGAAGCGACTTCATCACAGCCATGTGGGCTTCAAAGCAAAAGTAATAAGAGCAGCGACTGCGGGAAGTGATCGTAAGACGGAGAGCGACGCCCTAAACCCTAAACCCTAAACCCTAAACCCACTGAGTTCTGGGCTGCTTCAGGAAGCCGGCCCACTGAACCGGGGCGCAGCCCAGGCGTCCGCCAGAGAGGGGCGTGGTCAGCGCCGTGGACCTCGGGTTTCGGGTTTAGGGCTTTGGGTTTAGGGTTTAGGGTTTAGGGTTTAGGGGCTTTGGGTTTCGGGGCAGGACTTAGGACTTAGGGTGAAGACCCCAGGAGGCAGGCAAAGTTGAGAAGTGAGAATCTGAGCTGCAGGCAGCACCGACATTCCCAACCTGGACGGTCACTGTGCTGTGGACAAGCAGAAACCACAGGCTTCAGTTGAGCCCGTGGCTCGTTGCTGATGCCGTTAATCTTCAACCTGGAGAAGGAGTTGTTCTGGGCCTCGGTTTCACAGTAGGGCTGGGTGTAAGGCTCTCAGCTCGAGAGCATAGAACTAGGTCTCCCACCGCCATGCCCACCTCCAACCACGGACCCCACTGCACACTGCCGGCAGGCACCCCACTGAGTCGCCAGTGGTGTGCCAAGGCATCCAAGCCTCAAGGAAATCTGAAATCCGAGGGATGCAGGAGATCTTGGCAAAGAGCGAAGTAAGCTTCAGGCATGTATTGGCTGCTGCATAGTTCCCTTGACCTGTGCAAGGATGTGCATTGCATGCGAGGCGCCAGATATCTAACACCATGTGGGTGCCGGTGCCTGCTGCTCCCAACAGGGCAGCTGTCGAGGAATAGAGCACGAAGAAGTCCAAGGAAAGACCATCAGCCGCACTGAGGAGATGCCTGGGAAACAGCGTGGGCGGAACTCCCTCGGAGCTTCACGAAAGTCTCCTGAATTTGCCCAAGCCACTTAGCTCCCGTGACCTTGGCGCCATATGCCCGCTCGAGATTCTGACGGGTCAGCTGAGGCAGCATGGCGTCATCCAAGACCTGAGCACACAGACAGGTGACCAGGCGATCGTTCTGAGACTCTCGCAGGCGAAGCTAAGCCTCTCAGCACCCGGCACCTGCCAGGTGGAGCAAGCCCCGCACAGGCTTCTTGCCCTTGCCGGTCGGCTCTGCGGATTTGAACCTCTTCTTTAGGTCGGCCGCTCCAGCTGCCGAGGCCACGTCACAGGCCAGAGCTGTCGCTTGGAGGCTGGATTGCTGCAGCCACTTCCACTGCTGCTCCACTTCGGATCCCGGGCGGCCACTGCGAGAAAGCAGCAGCAAACTCTTAGCCCCCTCCTCTGCGAGGGCTTGGGCTGTGATCAGGCCCAAGGCGCCCATGCCACCCGAAAGCACGTAGCTTGCCTCCGGCGACAGCTTCATCCGATGCGGCACCTTCAGGACCACTTTGCCAATGTGCTGTGCCCGCTGGAGGAATTGCAAGGACTCCACTCCCTTTTCCAGGCCCTCGAACTCCTGTGCCGGAAGTGGCTTCCAAGAGCCTGAGCCAGAGACATGCCTTTGAAATCAGTGGCCCTAAACCCTAAACCCTAAACCCTAACCATAAACTTTCAGGGAACCCCAAGATACCCCAAGCGGCGCCTCGCAGGTCCTTCTCAAGCCGCTTCAAGAGGCCCTGGTAGCGGTCGGGCTCATTCTCGCAGACTCCATCGATGGCCAGGAGGTGGTACTTCAAGTCCGCCCGGAACTTCTTCACCTTTGGGCTTTTGGCTTCGTTTCTGAGGCTCTGATGGCAGCTCTTTGTTCTGTCTGCCAACGGGGGTTTAGGGCTTCGGTGGACTTCCGCACTGTCAATGCAAAATGCATCGACGTGAACACGACGGACCATGTCAGGCTCGTAAGCGCAACATCAAACATGTCGTGACACGCAGTATGCAGGAACAACAGCAATTGATGATGCTGATCAGAGTCTTACTCACGGCAACAACCACTACAGTGGGGGGCGGTCATACGGGCAATGCTGCTACCACAATGACCAAGAGATGCAAGCTGCAGATTCACCGAACAGGCCCTGAATAAAGCCTAAATCCCAAGCCCTAAACCC